TACAAGAAGGTCTTGTGGGAGGCTCGGAAGTTCGAGCTGGACCGGCACGAGGTCATCCTCTGCACCTGCTCCTGTGCAGCCTCCGCCAGCCTCAAAACCCTGGATGTGAGGCAGATCCTTGTTGATGAGGCAGGCATGGCCACAGAACCTGAAACCCTCATCCCCCTGGTGCGGTTCCCACAGGCCGAGAAGGTTGGTGGGGCGGGGGTGTGTGGGTAGCACGGGCAGGCGTCCCTGGCACAGTCTCGCACCTGAGGCACCCTGTGTGTGCAGACGTGGGCGTTGTGTGGGGCTGGGGTCCTTCTGGGTCTAGCAGTGTCAGGGCCAGGCCTGCCTGTTCCTCTAGGTGGTTCTTCTTGGAGACCACAAGCAGCTGCGGCCTGTGGTCAAGAACGAGTGGCTGCAAAACCTGGGTCTGGACCGGTCTCTGTTTGAGCGGTACCACGAGGACGCACACATGCTGGACACTCAGTACCGCATGGTGAGCCCGCCCCGCTCAGCCCCCAGCCCACCTGCAGCCCCTGGGCGGCCACAGCCCCAGGTGGCAGCTCCGGCACCTCTGACCAGTTCACATCCTTGCCTGCAGCACGAGGGCATCTGTGCCTTCCCCTCAGTGGCATTCTACAAGAGCAGGCTGAAGACGTGGCAGGGCCTGAAGAGGCTGCCCAGTGTCCTGGGCCACGCTGGCAAGGAGAGCTGCCCTGTCATCTTTGGCCACGTGCAGGGCCACGAGCGGAGCCTGTTGGTGTCCACGGATGAAGGGAATGAGAACTCCAAGGCCAACCTGGAGGAGGTGGCTGAGGTGGTGAGTGTCTGGTGCCTGGAGGTCAGGGAGGGCCTCCTGGAGGAGGGCAGGAGAGGCACCAGGGTCCGCTCCACCTGCCCCCTCGGCCCCTCAGGTCCGTATCACCAAGCAGCTGACCCTGGGGAGGACCATAGAGCCCCAGGACGTCGCCGTCCTCACGCCCTACAACGCGCAGGCCTCTGAGATCAGCAAGGCCCTTCGGCGAGAGGGCATCACTGGGGTGGCCGTGTCCTCCATCACCAAGAGCCAGGGTGAGGCTGGGGGCTCATGGGTGGGGCCGGGAGGGTGGGCGAAGTGGCCGCAGGGCCTCACCTTCCATCTTGCAGGGAGCGAGTGGCGCTATGTGCTGGTGAGTACCGTCCGCACCTGTGCCAAGAGTGACCTGGACCAGCGGCCCACCAAGAGCTGGCTCAAGAAGTTTCTGGGCTTCGTTGTGGACCCCAACCAAGTGAACGTGGCTGTCACGCGGGCCCAGGAGGGGCTCTGCCTGATCGGTGAGGGCAGGGCTGGGCTCTTCCTGGTGGGAACACAGGTGGGGCCAGGGCTGGGCTGGAGAGCCGCCCGACTCCGCCTGACTCCTGCCTGACCCTGACCCCTCCCGCCTGACCCTGCCTCCTCCCGCCTGACCCTGCCTCCTCCCGCCTGACCCTGACCCCTCCCGCCTGACTCTGACTCCTCCCGCCTGACTCTGACTCCTCCCACCTGACCCTGATCCCTCCCACCTGACCCTGACATCTTTCACCTGACCCTGATCCCTCCCACCTGACCCTAATCCCTCCCACCTGACCCTGACATCTCTCACCTGACCCTGACTCCTCCCACCTGACCCTGATCCCTCCCACCTGACCCTGATCCCTCCCACCTGACCCTGACATCTTTCACCTGACCCTGATCCCTCCCACCTGACCCTGATCCCTCCCACCTAACCCTGATCCCTCCCACCTGACCCTGACATCCTTCACCTGACCCTGATCCCTCCCACCTGACCCTGATCCCTCCCACCTGACCCTGATCCCTCCCACCTGACCCTGACATCTTTCACCTGACCCTGATCCCTCCCACCTGATCCTGATCCCTCCCACCTGACCCTGATCCCTCCCACCTGACCCTGACATCTTTCACCTGACCCTGATCCCTCCCACCTGATCCTGATCCCTCCCACCTGACCCTGATCCCTCCCACCTGACCCTGATCCCTCCCACCTGACCCTGACATCTCTCACCTGACCCTGACCCCTCCCACCTGACCCTGATCCCTCCCACCTGATCCTGATCCCTCCCACCTGACCCTGATCCCTCCCACCTGACCCTGACATCTTTCACCTGACCCTGATCCCTCCCACCTGACCCTGATCCCTCCCACCTGACCCTGACCCCTCCCACCTGACCCTGACCCCTCCCACTGGACCCTGACTCCTCCCACCTGACCCTGACCCCTCCCACTGGACTCTAACTCCTCCCACCTGACCCTGACCCCTCCCGCCTGACCCTGATCCCTCCCGCCTGACCCTGATCCCTCCCACCTGACCCTGACATCTCTCACCTGACCCTGACTGACTCCCGCCTGACCCTGATCCCTCCCACCTGACCCTGATCCCTCCCACCTGACCCTGACATCTTTCACCTGACCCTGATCCCTCCCACCTGATCCTGATCCCTCCCACCTGACCCTGATCCCTCCCACCTGACCCTGATCCCTCCCACCTGACCCTGACATCTCTCACCTGACCCTGACTGACTCCCGCCTGACTCCCACCCTCATAGGAGACCACCTTCTCCTGCGCTGCTGCCCCCTCTGGCGTAGCCTCCTGGACTTCTGTGAGGCTCAGCAGAGCCTCGTGCCTGCCGGCCAGGTGCGCGTCTGCAGGAGGCCAACTATGCCTTCCTGAAGAGCCCTCCCCACCCGCAAGCTGCCAGGACTGGGAGGGCAAGTCCAGGGCCCCCCAACCTCCCCACCGCCCTCCACCATCAGCCTGCCTGGGCCAGCCTGCCTCCTGGCCTCGGGCTCTCCCTGGGGCGGGAAGTGGGCAGATTGGAGGAGGAGGAATGGCGAGGGCCGGTCCCCACACCCCTGCTTCTCCTGGGCATCTGGGGACAAGGACACCTCTCAGGGTGGCCAAAAGGAGCTTCTTTGGGACCAGCGCACGGTAGTTCTGCTGTCCCTGGGAAGTCTCAGAACCAGGAAGGAAACCCTATGGAGGCTGCCCTTTGACCTTTCGATGCCACCTGTGATTACTCTGGATGGCGTCTGTGGAGTTCAGGTTTATTCTGTATTTAAATGAACTCAAAGCCAGCATCCTGCCGGGCGTGGTAGCTCATGCCCGTAATCCAGCACTTTGGGAAGCCAAGGCAGGGGGATAACCTGAGGTCAGGAGTTCGAGACCAGCCTGGCCAACATGGTGAAACCCTGTCTCCACTAAAAATACAAAATTAGCTGGGCGTGGTGGCGTGCACCTGTAATCCCAGCTACTTGGGAGGCTGAGGCATGAGAATCGCTTGAATCCAGGAGGCAGAGGTTGCAGCGAGCTCTGATCGCACCACTGCCCTCCAGCCTGGGTGACAGAGCAAGACCCTGTCTCAAAAAAAAAAAAAAAAAACCAGCATCTGTTACTGGAACAGAGACCTCAGCCTAAGCTCAGGACAAGGAGGCCCCCTGGCAGAGGGGCCTTTTTCCCACCACCACCACCTGTGTCCTTCAGGGGCTGCTGACGGCAGCCCAAAGCCAGGGCCACCCCGCCCCACCCTGCCCTCTGAAATGTGAAAAGCCTGCAGTCTTCCCACGGGCTGCGCGGTGGGCTCGGGGGGGCCGGGGGGGCCGGGGCGATGCTTCCACCCTGGACTCCGCGTTCCGTTCCGGGACAGCCTGCTCAGCTGCATCTGTTTCTCGAGTGCTGCCGCCTCAGGGCAGCTCTGCCCCTCCTGCTGCCTCCAGTCCTGAGGGAGGGGCTTGCCCCACCTTCTACATTCCAATTTTTATATCATTGAATTATGTGATTAGATATTAATTTAATGATAAAACCACTCTGAAAGCTCTTCTCACTCCTGGGTGTTTTGAGGTCGGCTGGGGGGCAAAAGTGGATGGCTACTGTGCTGGGGACGCGGCCGTGGAGGCCGTCGAGGGCCCACTGCAGAGTGCTGGGTGCAGGGGCGTGGGGAGGGCGGCAACCCCCCCTGCAGGGCTGGTGGCTTGGGCTGCCTGTGTCAGGAGGGGAGAGCCGGTGCCTGGTGTGGTGAGGACAGGCCACAGCTCCGGAGCTGCTCTGGTGTCACCAGACTGGCCAAGTCCAAAGTCCCTGAGGCCACCAGCCCTGACTGTCCTGTTGGTCCCACTTTTGAAGCTGCTCCCCAGGACCCCCTGGCCGCTGTGAGCTGGGGTCCCTCCGCTCCTGGCCCATTCGTGGCTGCATCCACAGGGGCTCCCGTGGTCTCCCAGAGCCAGCTCGGGGGTCAGATGGTCGTGGGGGCTATGGTCACTGTGGGAAAAGAGGTTCTGGGCGTCCGTGGAGGGAGGGGCACAGCATGGAGTCTCCAGGACAGTGGCCTCCTTGGTGTGCTGGATGGGCCCTGCCTTGAAGACCACATCTATTCTTGGGCCGTCATGAAATAGACAGTAGTTTGCAATAGCTTGAGAAGTGCCTGCAGAGAGGATGAGAAGGCACCTCTAGCAAAGGGGACTTGGCCTGCAGCCAGGGAAGGCTTCTCGGAGGAAGGGGCAGCTGTGGTCCTGAAGGTGAGCGGTGGGGGGAAGCAGAGGCTGGACGCCTAGCAAAAGCAGCTGATCTTGGAGGAGAGAGGGAGCTCGGGGCTGGGACGGCCCTTGAGGAACAAACGGTGGGCGGGGCATGGAGGGGCACAGCTGAGCTGCTCACAGCCAGAGATCACTGCCTCCTCGGGGGTGCTAATGAGCACTCAAGGCTGGGCTGGGGTGGTGGGACGCACTGCGGCCTAGAAGTGTCATCCCCTTAGGGAGGCCCCCAAGCCAGGAAGGTGGGTAAGGAAGGCCGGAGCTTGGTCATGGTGATGGGTGTGGCGAGGAGAGACGGGGGCTGGGACCGCCCTGTGGAGCAGCTCTCGTCATGGGAGGAGGCCCCCAGGTTCAGGGGCTGGCACTTCTTGCTCCAGGTTCAGCTGTCGTGGGAGGTCTGGCCTGGGGCTTGGCATGTTTTGAGCCAGGAAAAACACTAGTGGCTGCTGCCTTTAAAACATAAATAGGTTTGTGTCTTTAATTCCGTATGTGCATTTACACTCCTCTTTATTAGTGGATAAATATTAGAAAATCATCTCTCGGACAGAGTGGCTGAGGGTGGGCCCCTCCAGGGGCCCCGGCTTGGTCTGCAGGGTGAGGCTGTCCCTCCAGGGCTCGTACACCAGCGTGGAGGTCTCGGCCCTCTTGATGGTGAACTTGTAGGAACGGTTGGGCAGCAGGTTTCGGACGTCAAAGGTGCAGGCAGCCACGGGGATGACGCCACACTGGGCGCACTCCTGCTGCGTCCGTGGGTCCAGCAGCCTGAAGCGCAGCTCGTACTGCTCCGAGGCGGCCGGCTGGATGGTGACGAACCAACGAAGCCGGGCCCAGTCCTGGTGGGCCGCCGACTCCTTTCTGTCAAACATGACGGGCATCTTGGTGCTCAGCATGAGCCAGATGTGCGGGATCTTGGCGGCACTGACATCAGACACCAGGCGGTGTTTGACGTGCAGCCGTCCCGGCACCATCATGGTCAGGAAGCTGTCCATGACGGCCGACACGTCCGCCAGCCGCCGCTCCACCAGCGCCCAGTCGGCCAGGAAGGGCCGTGGGTCCGGCGACTGGAGCAGGGCGTCCAGCTCAGCACGGCCATGGTCCAGCTGCTCCAGCAGGTCCCCGAGCAGCAGGAGCTGGATCTTGGTCTGAGCTGTGCCCACCTTCTTCATGCGCTGGAACTTCCAGGGGTCGATGAGCTGGAACACGGCGCTGGGCAGCACCAACGGGTTCTGGTCGCCCAGGGCGAGGTGCTTGGGCAGGACCTCGATGTAGTAGGAGCACTTACGCAGCAGCTGCATGCGGGCGTGGTGGCGCTTGAGCAGGTGCGGGCTCAGGTCCGAAGTCAGGAACTCACGCAGGGCATTGCGGCGCTCGGTGTAGGTCCTCCACGCCTCTGGCTCCAGCAGCTGCTGGTCATCTGCCTCCTCCTGGTCCAGGAAGGACTGGGGATTGCCCAGCTTCATCTTGTCTAGGCCCAGGCCTGCCATGTGGGAGCTCATTATCTGGGAGCTGGGGGGAGGGCTGGGTGTCAACTGCCAGGCGGGCTGGCCTCCCCTGGGCCGTGGCACGCTTGGGGGATGGATTCAGCCCACTGCCCCCATGCTGGGCCTCTGTCCTTCCTCGGGGGCACAACTCGCTGGGAAGAGGCTGCCTGGAGGGCCGGATGGGCAGGCTACAGATCTGGACACAGTTTATGCTGAGGAGCATAAACCTCTACTGACAACCGGTGGCCTGCGGGACAGGACAGGGAAGAGCTAGGACTGCGGACTTCTGGCCGGAACAGCCAGGGCAGAAACCCCAGCCCTGACCTGTGGCCTGGCAAGGGCCCCAGTTCCTAGCCCTGGTACTGAAAGGGGGTGCTGGCACCCTCAGGGCCGTGGAGAGGGGACAGCGTGGTCCTAAGCAGCCCAGAACCCCCCTTAGGGACACTCGCGGGCCATCTTCCCGCTCCGGTTCTCCGTGGGGACTCTCTATGCCTCACCGCAGTCGTAGAGCAGAGACGGGCCTCACCAAAGGCTAGGCCAGCTGGCCAGTCAGCGTGGGAGGAGGGCGGCCAGGCCTGGACCCGGAGGAGCAGCCCTCCTCCTACGCTGTGGGCCCTCCCTGTGGACCCGGGACCCTGTCCCTGGTGAGCTCACGGACCCCACAAGCAACACTCCGTTTCCCAGACGGAGCCTGAGGCTAAGACGCTTGGTTCTTGCCCTCATCCAGGGTTTCAGCCCAGTGCTGAGCCGAGGCTGACCCTCTGTCTGTGGGTGCACCGGCTGAGTGCAGCTGTGGCCCCAGCCTCTGCCGCAGCTCCCTTGAGAGCAAGCCGCACCCTGGCTGCTGCCCCGGCTCCCAGCAACCCTGGAGATCTCAGGTTGTCACAGCCACCAGGGCCTGGGATGAACCGCAAATGAGAACTAAGCAGTTGTGTGAGTTCCCTAAGGCCACACAGGTAGGTGCAGCCATGTTTGCCTCACACCCAAACGGACGACCCTTGACCTTTCTGGGGCAGCGGGGTGAGAAAAGGACCCTCGGACAGCAGGGAGTGTGTCTAGGGTGAGGTGCCAGCTGAGAGCAGGACCCCGGGACGCCAGGCCTAAGCCCTGCTCTGGCTGGAGGCTGGGGCGGGTTTCACCACTGGAGGGAAATCGTGCCTCTGTTCCAGAGATGTCTTCCAGTCTCCAGCAGCTGCCCAGGTGGAAAACCCAGAGGGGCTGGTCGTGAGCCCTGGAAAGCGGTTCCGAACCCCTCGCTGCTTCCTTCACACCCCTGGTCCCAGGCCCGCTTCCCTGAGACCACCAGGTGCCCGCACCCTACCTCCTCCACCACACTCCCCTAGGCTCCCCTGGCCCGGGCCCACCTCCCCGGCCGCTCTGCCTGCCCCTTACCTTCCTGAGACCCCCAGCCCTCCTTTCCCAGCCCCCGCCGCCGCCCCAGACCCGCGCCCACTTGCCCTGCCTCCGAAGCGGAGCCGCGCGCGGACTTCCCAGAGCCCAGCCTCCCTCCGGGCTCCGCGGGTTGCCCTGGGGACCAGGGGCTTTTGTGACGCTGCTGCCCAGGGCCGGGGGGGTGGGGACCCAGGACCCTGAGCCGAGGAATCTTCCATCCGCTTCGCTTCCTGGGGAGCCCCAGACTTCTGGGGGCCCGCGTCCCCGGCTTGGGGGCCACCTCGGGTGGCTGGTCCAAGAGCCGGGCTCCAAGTGGGGTTCCCGTCCCCACGCACCCCCGGCTTTCGGCGGGGCGCAAGAGCCTCAGGTGACTGGGAGGGGGTTCCTGCTCAACCCCCCAGTCCTAGTGCACTCCTCGGAATCCCTCGGAGGAATCTGGGAGCGAGGCAGGGCCCCGTGACCCGGCACACGGACCACCCAGTGCAGAGGAGGGGGTGGCTCCGCCCAGCAAGGCCCCGCCCATCACAGGCTCCTCCCACCACGGGCTCCCCCCACCTCAGACTCCTCCCACCTCAGGCTGCCCCCAATCCCGCAACCGCCCCTCCCACCACAGGCTCCTCCCAGCGCAGGCTCCTCCCACCACGGGCTCACCCCACACGGCCCCTCCCACCACAGGCTCCTCCCCCCACGGGCTCCTTCCGTACGGGGCGAGGGGTCTCCCACCTGGGGCAGCCCAAGCTCAGGCCCCGACCTGACTCTGGATAAATGGGGTCTTCATAGCTCCAGGGAGCCCCACAGAGGAGCTCTGAGGCCATCTGGTCCCGTCTGTATCCGTTCCATTGGGCTCAGGGCCTCTGGGATCCTCCCCTTCCCCCACAGCACACCCCAGCTACCTGGGGTTCTGCGGGGGTGACAATCTCAGACACCCCAAGGTGCCCCTCCTTCACCTTCAGGAAGATGCTGGAGGAAGACACTCTTTCCATCCTCCTCATCTCCATCCCCACGGAGGTCAGTGCTGGGGCCTCTTCCAGGATGGGCGTCTTTGAGCCCCTCCCAGGCTCTTCTGTAACCTGAGCTTCCCCCTCCTCCCGGCGACCCCACCTCGGAAGAGCTTTCCTTTGGCGCTTGGAGGCCGCAGGGGTTAGGCCTGGCAGGAAGTGGGTGGGTGTGGGTGGTTTTTTTTTTGAGATAGCGTCTTGCTCTGTCACCATGCTGCAGTCTCCACCTGCTCACTGCAGCCTCCACCCCCGGGCTCCAGTGATCCTCCCACCTGGGTCTTTCTGATGCTTTAGGATTACAGGTGTGAGCCCCGCGCCCAGTCCTGTTGGGTGCTGTTTCTGCCTTGCCCTCCCTGCCTGGGCTGGAACTCAATAAATGTCAGCTATTGTTGTTGTTGTTGTTATTTAGGGCTCCAGGGGACAAAGCCAGGCTGTTTGGAGAAGGGGGTGCTGTCTGACACAGAGGCTTGGGAAGCAGTAGGAGTTAGACCCCTTACCCCCCACCCTGCAGCCCACTCACAGAGAAGCAGGGTGGGGGCAGAGCAGCCTCCCCTTCTCTTCTGGGGCCAGGCAGGTCCTGGATGTCTGCTCTCTCCTGGGTTCCACCCTATCCCCTTTCATTCAATTTCTGATTTCTAATCTAATTTTTTTTTTTGAGACGGAGTCTCGCTCTGTCACCCAGGCTGGAGTGAGTGGCACGATCTTGGCTCACTGCAAGCTCCGCCTCCCAGGTTCACGCCATTCTCCTGCCTCAGCCTCCCAAGTAGCTGGGACCACAGGCGCCCACCACCACGCCCAGCTAATTTTTTTTTGTATTTTTAGTAGAGACGGGGTTTCACTGTGTTAGGCAGAATGGTCTCGATCTCCTGACCTCATGATCCGCCCGCCTTGGCCTCCCAAAGTGCTGGGATTACAGGCGTGAGCCACTGCGCCCAGCCTCTAATCTAATTTTTTAAAGTTAAACTTTTAGCCAGGCTGGGTGGCTCAGGTCCATAATCCCAGAACTTTGAGAGGCCGAAGTGAGAGGATCCCTTGAGGCCAGAAGTTTGAGACCAGCCTGGGCAATATAGGGAGACCCCTGTCTCTACAAATAACTTGAAAAATTAGCTGGGTGTGGTGGTGTGCACCTGTGGTCTCAGCTACTTGGAAGGCTGAGGCTGGAGGATCACCTGAGCCTGGGAAGACTAGGCTGCAGTGAGCCAAGATGATGCCACTGCACTCCAGCCTGGTAACAGAGGGAGACCCTGTCTCTAAAAAGAATAATAATGGCTGGGCGCAATGACTCGCGCCTATAATCCCAGCACTTTGGGAGGCTGAGGCAAGCAGATCACCTGAGGTCAGGAGTTCGAGACCAGCCTGGCCAACATAGTGAGTGAGACCCAGTCTCTACTAACAATACAAAAATTAGCTGGGCATGGTGGCGCATGCCTGTAGTCCCAGCTACTCGGGAGGCTGAGGCAGGAGAATCGCTTGAACCCAGGAGGTGGAGATTGCAGTGAGCCGAGATTGTGCCACTGCACTCCAGCCTGGGTGCAGTAAGACAGAGACCTGTCTCAAAAATCATAATAATAATAAAGTTAAATTTTAGTTTTAAGATAATTGTAGATTTACCTGCAGTTGTAGGAAGAAACACAGAGGTCCCGTTACCCTCTACCCAGCGTCCCCAGTGGTAGCATCTTGCAAGACTGCAGTTCACAGTCACGCCAGGACCTTGAACCGATACAGACGCAGGACAGTGCCACCCCCATGAGACCCCGACATGTTCTTTATGGCCACGCTGCTCCCTCCCACCCCTCCCTAGCCCTGCAACCACTCATCTCTCCGGCTCTGTCTGGTCGTTTCAAGAAGGTCCTGTCAGTGCAGGCTTTCAGTATGCAGCCTTGGGACTGGCTTCTTGGGCTCAGCATAGTCCTCTCCATGCAGAGCCAATGGTCACTCCTGTTCACTGCTGGGCACCAGGGGCCAGTTCGTGCTTAGTCTTGCTCAACCCTGTTTGTGGCCACCAGGGCATGGGCAGTGAACACTTTGGGTCTGTTGTCCCTGGTGGACACAGCTTCCCTGGGCCCTGAGGATGGTGAAGGCTGGGGATAGTGGGGCCAGTCATCGGGGAGAGAGTGCACCCTGACTGCTGAGACCCTCAAAGCTGTACCCTTCAGATGCATAAACCTGGGTGGGGGTGGCCTGAAGTGGCAGAGCTCCTGCCACCAGCCTCCATCTAAACGCTAGGAAGGGCGTGCACCCCATCTTCCTGTCTGTATCCTCACTGCTGTTGTAAGCTCAGTGCTCTTACAGATGGGGAAACTGAGGCACAGGGAAGTTCAGCACTGTGTGCCCAAGGTCATGTGGCCAGTGAGTCTGACAGCAGGATTCCAGCCCTGGTCTTTTTTTGGTGGGGGGGACGGAGCCTTACTCAGCTGCCGAGGCAGGAGTGTAGTGGCACCACAATCTCAGCTCACTGCAACCACCATCTCCCAGATTCAAGTGATTCTTCCGTCTCAGCCTCCCAAGTAGCTGGGATTACAGGTGCCCACCATCATGCCTAATTTTTGTATTTTAGTGGAGACGGGGTTTCACCATAGTTGCCTAGGCTGGTCTTGAACTCCTGACCTCAGGTGATGCACCCTTCTTGGCCTCCTAAAGTACTGGGATTACAGGTGTGCCCGTGCCCGGCCTCTTCTTTTTTTAAAAAATAGAGATGGAGTCTCACTATGTTGCCCAGGCTGGTCTTGAACCCTTGGGCTCAAGCGATCCTCCTGCTTGGCCTCCGCAAATGCTGGTATTATAGGAGTGAGCCGCCTCACCTGGCCAAGCCCCAGTCTCCTGACCCCGTCCAGAGTGATCCTGTGCCCAGGCCCCTTTCCTCACTCCCCTCTGTGCCACCCATCCGGTTAGGGCTGAGGGAGGAGGTGAGTCATGGGTGAGGGCACAGCAGGGAGGGAAGGAGCTGCTGACACGGACACCTGGCAGGGGCCCTACACTGGGCTGTGTTGCACCTGGTGGGTGAGGTGAGGAAGGGGTGGATGGGCGGGCACAGCTTGGAGGGCAGTGGGACAGGGTAGCTGGGCCTGCGGGGCCGGGGATTCTGAGGACCACCGGGGAGGAGCTGGATGGAGCTGGCCTTGGCTGCTTGCCGACCGCGCTCACCATGGCATGTGTGCAGTGCAAGGGCAGCAGGTGCAAGGAGGGGGAGATGGGGCGGACGTGGGGAGCTGATCTGTGGGCCGGTGGGGTAGTGGGGGTGAGACATGCCTGGGCAGAGGCCCAGTGGGGCCCTAACCCTGACAGCCAGGCCTGCCCCTGGCTCCGGCTGGGCATGGAATGTGCTGAGTCCTATGCCACGGTCCCGTGGCTCTAAGGGACAGGGAGTGTCTGGAAGGAATCTGCATTCAGTGCCCTGAACACCTGACCCCAGTGTGGTGAGCACAGGAGCCTTCCACAGCCTGAGGAGGCCTCCCTGGGGCTCTGCGGCCTTGGTGTTCTAGGAGGGAGGAGTCACGTCCTGGGGGGGATTTAGGAGAGCTGGTGGCCACGCCTGTAGTCCCAGCACTGTGGGAGACAGGAGGATCGCTTGAGGCCAAGAGTTCAAAACCAGCCTGGGCAACATAGTGAGATCCCATCTCTACAAATAATAAAAAATTTATCTGGGCATGGTGGCTCACACCTGTAGTCCGGCAGGAGGATAGCTTGAGCCCAGGAGATCGAGGCTGCAGTGAGGCGTGATGGTGCCACTGCACTCCAGCCTGGGCGACAGAGTGAGACCCTGTTTCAAAAAAAAAAAAACGTAAAAGAAAAGAAACTGGGCCGGGCACGGTGGCTCAAGCCTGTAATCCCAGCACTTTGGGAGGCCAAGACGGGCGGATCACAAGGTCAGGAGATCGAGACCATCCTGGCTAACACGGTGAAACCCCGTCTCTACTAAAAAATACAAAAAACTAGCCGGGCGTGGTGGCGGGCACCTGTAGTTCCAGCTACTCGGGAGGCTGAGGCAGGAGAATGGTGTGAACCCGGGAGGCGGAGCTTGCAGTAAGCCAAGATCGTGCCACTGCACTCCAGCCTGGGCAACAGAGAGAGACTCCATCTCAAAAAAAAGAGAAAAGAAACTGGTGGGCAAAAACCCCACCTGCATGTGTGATGGGAGGAGAAGGCGCCCGGGGAGGGGAGGAGACGGCGCCGGGGAAGGGAGGAGAAGATGCTGGGGCCCCTCAAAGGCCACCCCCAATTTAGTATTTACAATTATCCACATTTCTGAACACCCTCCCCCGCTCCCAGCAGGACACCTCTCTGGGTGAGCCTGCCTTTAGCCTGGCAATGTCCAGCCTCCCAGGGCTCCTGCTGGCTCCAGGCCGTCAGCTCGGACACAGCTTGGCCGCTGGGGTGCCCTGAGAGCCAGGCCACGGGTGTCACTGCCACCCCACAGTGCACACACCAGTCCCCAGATGTGAGACTGCCGAGAAGCCCATCTGTGGCTCCAGGACAGGCAGGTGCGAGAGGGTCTTGTCATTGGCTGGACACTGGTCATGCCTGTTGGAGGGATGTGTTCAACCCACGCATGAAGTGTGGGCATTGATGTGTGTGAGATGTGGGGAAGGGGTGTGAGGCTCCATGAAGGCCACCCAGGTACTGCAGGGGCTGCTGGGGGGAGGCCTGCGAGAGGAGCAAGAGACTGCAGATGGGCCCCCACCCCACCCCCACTCAGGACCCCACCCCAGCCTGGCCTGCGGCCGAGCTCCCCGCAATCAGCATCTCGTTTTACTGCATGAAAGCTGGGGTGCTGACAGCCCCCTCACTCGCCTGTCGTTGGCCTTCATTGTAGAGGCTGGAGGCTCAGCGCCTGGTGCGGGGTTAATGATGTTAAAATATCTGGCCAACATTTAAGTAAGCACTTTTCACCTAAGGGCAGCTCAGGCTTGGCAACCACTGCAAGTACTGAACAGCAACACCCTTCCGTGGACCCCCCACTTCTCCGCGGGCATGGTGGCTGATGGACTGTGGTGCCCTTGGGCGTGGGCCGGGCTTGGGTGGGCAGAGCCACTCCGCCTGCCTGGGCCTTGCAGAGGGCAGGAAAGAGGCTGGCCCCGCCCACCCCACCCTCCTAGGCCCCTCCTGGAGCCAGCCCCCGCCCCCGCCCGCGCCCCAGCCGAAGCTGCCCTCTGCCCTCCGGTCGGGGAGGGGACTGTGCACTCCAGAAGCCAAGGAGATCGAATAGGAGGGGCTGTCGGTGTGTCTGAGGCAGGGGGTCCGCCCTGCGCCCCACCCAGCCCGAACGCCAGCCCGGACGCCGGTGGGAACGGTGTGCCTCCTGGATCCAGGGGACCTCTGAGTGACCACAGGGCCGGGGTCCCCTGTCGCCCCACGGCCGGTGCAGGGAGCGCTGGACACCGGGTCCCACCGGCCCCGCCAGTTCCTCCTCCGCGCTCGTGGGCTCCCATGGCCCCCGGCCCAGCGCGGTGACCCGGGGGGATGGAGCCCTTCCTCAGGAGGCGGCTGGCCTTCCTGTCCTTCTTCTGGGACAAGATCTGGCCTGCGGGCGGCGAGCCGGACCACGGCACCCCCGGGTCCACGGACCCCGGCGCCGACCCAGTGCCCGCGCTCCCCGCGGAGCCCTGCAGCCCCTTCCCGCAGCTCTTCCTTGCGCTCTACGACTTCGCGGCGCGGCGCGGGGAGGAGCTGAGTGTCCGCCGCGGGGACAGGCTCTGCGCCCTCGAGGAGGGGGGCGGCTACATCTTCGCGCGCAGGCTCTCGGGCCAGCCCAGCGCCGGGCTTGTGCCCATCACTCATGTGGCCAAGGCTTCTCCCGAGACGCTCTCAGACCAACCGTGAGTACCTCGACCTGGAGTCACAGCCTGCCTCGCCCTAGTCTGGGGAGTCTGGAAAACGGCAGGAGTTTGAGTTTGAAATCGCATGTCCGTGGCTATCTGTTCATTCATTCGTTCATCCCTGCATTCATTCAGGGGCAGTTGATGAGCCCCGGGCCGGCAGGTAGGGTAGGAGAACAGCAGAGTCTGCTGTGCGCTGCCAAGAGGGAGAGGAGGCTCCACAGGCCTGGTCAGGTCCAGGGGACACCAGCTGCACCAGCCCAGCACCCAGCGGGTGGTTCCTCCAGGACCCTGCCTGGCTGGCCAGGCCCTCCCGCCCTCACACAGGGAGTCCAGTGTTCATGGAGTGTTCATGGAGTGGCCACTCCTTGGAGGGCAGGGGCTGGGGGCTGGGAGGCACCAGATGACATAGGGGCTCATGCTCCAGGAGCTCTGGGTGAGGGCAGGTGAGCAGGGGCTGCAGAGGCACCTAGTCCAGATGCCCAGTGCAGCTGCTCTGAGCAGCTTCCTTGGTCCTGTGTCCAGCTGGGCCAGGCCTGAGCCCTGGAGACCTCCGGGTCAGCCTTGCTCAGGGCCACTTCCAGCCTCCTGGGGGACCCTTGGCACTCACACATCGTCCTGAGGGTTGCATGGGGTGGGTGAAGCCAGAGTCATGGGAAGGTGTCTTCTGAGAGGCCCCAGACCCTCACCGCACACCTGCCTCGCTTGCCCTGAGCAGTGGTTGGGGGGCAGCCATTGTGATGGGAACGGGTTCACAGCCACCGCAGGTGTGGACGGCAGGTCCCTTCAGCAGTTCCTGGAGGGCAGGGCTTGGGGTAGAGCAGTGCTGTCCATAGGCAAAGCTAATGACTATTTGCCTAGGCTGGAGATTAAAAGACTAACCACACTCAGGTGTCATTAGCTCCAGACACCTGGCCCCACGCCCCAGGGAGAGACCTCAGTCACATCCCCTGCATCTCAGCAACCACACAGGGGCCCACCTCCGACCTCCAAGCCCTGATATGGGTGTCAGAGGGGCTGGCGGTGTGTCGGGGAAACGCCTGTGTCTCATGCCCACACTCCGCAGTGCCAGGAGGGGCCTGAGTCCCTTCACACGTGAGAGGGTTGCGTCTCCCTGCCAGCAGACCCCAGAAGGCAGGGCCCCTGGCTGACAGAGCATCCATGGAGCCAGCATTTCAGGCCGCCGCCTCCCAGTCCCTGGTCCCACAGCTCTTCTTCTCCATCTTCATTCCTTTCAACCTCAGCCCAGCCCCATGGCCCTGGCCATGCCGGTTTCTGTTCCTGCTGCCCCCATTGCCCCCCAGGTCCCCGGGGCAGGGGTGCCAGACTGTCCTCCATCTTGCCCAGTTCCAGCAGCCACGTCTGCCCAGGATGGCACGGCTGTACCCCAGCCCCGAATCTTGTGTTGACTCTGAGGCCCGCCTTGGGTCCTCTCCTAGTCCCGCTCCTCGGGTGGTTTCAGCCCCACCCTGACACCCGGCTCACTCTGCTTCCTCCTTCTGGTGCTTACAGGGTGTGCCCTGGGGCGGGGGAGTGGCAGGTATCCCTCCCTGGGTCCCAGGAAGCTCCAGGGTGGGAAGCTGAGTCAGGTGTGGAGTCCCTGCCTTGGCCTTCGGAAGCAGAGATATGTAGTCGAGGTGGGGCTGGGAGCATTTCTATCTTCCTTCCAAGCATGCCTCTGGAGTGAGTAGATGTGACCTGGTGGGTGACCCACCTGGACAGGGGAGCCCCAGCAGGCCCCTCTCCTGACACCCGGTGTGGGCTCCTCGTGTTTGGACATCTGAGGAGTGGGTGCCTGGGAGCTCCCGGCCACCGTGCCACCATGTTCAGAGTGGTCTCACCTCCACCTGGCTTTTCGGAGGGGGGGGGTCTGTGTGGACAGAGGCCAGTGGGCTTGGGGCCATCCTGTACTGGGCACAACTCTTCAGAATAGGGTGCAGGATGCTTTGAATGTTCACCCAGCAACCCCCCTGCAGCCGCCCATTGGCTGCCCCTCCTGATCTCCTGCCCAGCCTGGCTTAGGCCGCCTCCTCAGGACAGAGCTCTGCATGGGCCATCCCCACTAACCAACTGCCTGAGGCAGGTGGGCTGTGCCTAGCCAGGTGGCGCCTGTGGCCCTGTACGACCACACCAACAGCCCAACAGTGCTTCCGGGCAGCTCATCAGGCCGTCGGCTCCGTGTCCGCGCAGGGGCTCAGCGAAGCCGAGTTTGGAGGCCTGTGGCCTATGGCCAGGGCTGACTGTTAACCTGTGGCTGGAGCTGGCGGTCACTATGAACAGGAAACTGGAGGTCATGCCCAGCAGGGCTAACAGAGAGCCCACGGCCAAGGTGAGGACGCTCAGGGCTGAGCAGGAGGATGGGGGCTGAGGCAGTGCAGACCTTGAGCTGGGACTCCAGCCCTGCCACAGGGTGGACCTTCTCCCTGAGAGGCAGTGGGACTGCTGGGCTCAGCCCTGCCACCAGCATGGAGGAGAGCATGTGGGGCCACTGGCTGAGGGGCCTGCAAGGTGACGCCGCACCTGCGTTTTCAGCTGGTACTTCAGTGGAGTCAGCCGGACCCAGGCACAGCAGCTGCTCCTCTCCCCACCCAACGCACCGGGAGCCTTCCTCATCCGGCCCAGCGAGAGCAGCCTCGGGGGCTACTCACTGTCAGGTACCTGGGGCGGCCCCTCCTGCCTCTGTCCCCCACCAGGCCAGTGCTCTTGACCTTGGGGCAGTTGGTCTCTAGGCAGTGCCGGGTCCTGAATCACACCCCGCGCCACTGAGGGCCCAACAGCAGATATGCCGGTCACCTCCTGCATTTGCTCACTTACCCATTCATTCATTCATTCATCCGTCATTCATCCACTCACTCATTTGTAACATCACTCATTCACTTGTTCATTCATTCCTCACTCACTAATTCACTCACTCATTCACTCATTCATTCATCGTTCATTCACTCCTCACTCACTCATTAATTCACTCATTCATCCACTCATTTGCTTGTTCATTCACTCCTCACTCACTAATTCACTCATTCATTCATTCACTCATTCACTCATTTATTCACTGATTTGTTCACTGGCTTATTCTTTCATTCATTTGCTTATTCATTCACTCATTCACTTTTTCCTTCTTTCCTTCCTTATTCCTTCATTCATTCACTGAATCATGGACTCATTCATTCTACAAGTATTTATTAAGTGCCTACTCTGCACACACTGTCAGCAGAAAAGCTCCAACCTGGACCCCTCTCGCTGCCCCGCCCCAGCCTATGGCTGCCCACACTGCCTCCTCCACACAGCTAGGTCTGAGCCAGACCCCTTAGGTGGGTTGTGGCCAGCATCCTCTGGGGTGAGAGGGTGGGGGCAGCTGGCAGCCGAGGCAGGGGTCTCCATCTCTGAACCCTTCCTAGTCCGGGCCCAGGCCAAGGTCTGCCACTACCGGGTCTCCATGGCAGCCGATGGCAGCCTCTACCTGCAGAAGGGACGGCTCTTTCCTGGCCTGGAGGAGCTGCTCACCTACTACAAGGCCAACTGGAAGCTGATCCAGAACCCCCTGCTGCAGCCCTGCGTGCGTCAGGTGGGCCTATGCCTGCCAAGCTGCCCCACACTGGCCTGAGGCCTGGCCCTGTTCTAGGTGCTCCTCCCCACCCCGTCTCAAAGCCCCTGCCCAGGCCTGGGAACATGGGGCATCCCAGCGGCCCCTGCACATGCTGCTCTTTGCTGGTGTCTCCGAGGGCTGTTGGGATTCCTGGGGGTCTGGGAGTCGGGAGAGGAGAGCTATAGCAGTGCCCGGCTCTGCAGGGAGCAGCCAGGAGGGTGGGGCCAGTTTGGGGAAGGCACTCAAGGCTGCCCCAGGCCCCAAGGGTGGAAGCTGTGGGAGGAGACGCGGATCACAAGATGCTGCACCTGGGCTGGAGCTGCTGGATCCCGGGGACTGTCCCCGACGTGAACCACCCTGCTGAGGGCCAGGGCAGCAATCTGGTTTCTCTGGTCTCATAATGACAGCCCGGCCAGCAGCAGTAATGAGCATGTGTAGACGGATATCCGGCTGGGGCAAAGGTGCCACTTAGGCCCCCAGAGCAATGAGATCCCGCAGGGCTGGGCCAGGCCTCCAAGTCCAGCACCCACTCCCCTTTGTCCCGGCCAGGGTGGGGTGAGTGTGTGCTGGGGACGGGGGTGCCCGCTGGAGGCCTGGTGTGGGGGCTCTGCCTGGGACAGAGCACAGGGGCCCATGCTGACCAGCCTCCCTGCCCACACTTCCTGGGGGGAGCGGGCAGGGCACTGAGCTCCCTGCTTTTCAGAAGGCCCCGCGGCAGGATGCGTGGGAGCGACCACACTCCGAATTTGCCCTTGGGAGGAAGCTGGGTGAAGGCTACTTTGGGGAGGTGTGGGAAGGCCTGTGGCTGGGCTCCCTGCCCGTGGCGATCAAGGTCATCAAGTCAGGTGAGGCCCCGAGATCCTGCGCCATGGCCGGGCCCCACACCCGCTGTCCAACCCTCAAGCCCTGGGGCAGTGATGTCCGTGGCGTGGGCCAATCCTGGAGCCATACCCTGTCTCGCAGCCGACATGAAGCTCGCTGACCTCGCCAAGGAGATCCAGACGCTGAAGGGCCTGAGGCACGAGCGGCTCATCCGGCTGCACGCAGTGTGCTCGGGCGGGGAGCCTGTGTATATCGTCACGGAGCTCATGCGCAAGGGAAACCTGCAGGTCTTCCTGGGCAGTGAGTCCCTCCCTGCTGCCACATGGCCGCGCCTGCGGCCGCCCCTTCCCTTCTGGGCAGAGCTGAACCTGCCGGGGTCCCGAGGTGAACTGGGCCTCTCTACTGGGAGCAGGTGGCCCCGGCTCCAGATCCCATCCCTGTCTGGTCTCCAGCCAACAGAGGGCTGGGGCCAGGTCTGGGCCAGGCCAGAGCCTTGTGGTTCCGGGGCTGGGGCTGGGGGAGTGCGGTCCCATCTGGGTCATCAGCCTTGGTCTGATGGGATGTGGACCCAGCCCAGCCTCTGGCTCTTCTCTGCCCCGGTCTTTATTAGGGGCCTGGGCTGGCTGCCAGGTCACCGTGGTGAGTACAGCACCCTCCCCCTGTCTCACTCGGGGCTTCCTGCAGCCTTAGCCGGCCACGCCATCCTCATCACGTCTTAGAGATGAGGAGGCTGAGGCATGGGGAAAGGTGACGTGGGTGGACGCTGGCCTCTCTGGCTGTTGGCCCTGCGCCGTGAAAGGCCCTGCGCTGTCTCCTGCAGGCCCCGAGGGCCGGGCCCTGCGTCTGCCGCCGCTCCTGGGCTTTGCCTGCCAGGTGGCTGAGGGCATGAACTACCTGGAGGGGCAGCGCATTGTGCATCGGGACTTGGCCGCCAGGAACGTGCTTGTGGACGATGGCCTGGCTTGCAAGGTGGCTGACTTTGGCCTGGCCCGGCTGCTCAAGGTCAGCGGAGGCTCTGGGCCCCTGACTGCTCGAGGGGGTGGGTGAGGGGGGCCCCAGTCCACCTGTCCTACCAGGGGCCTTCCCTGCCCCCAGGACGACATCTACTCCCCGAGCAGCGGCTCCAAGATCCCGGTGAAGTGGACAGCACCTGAGGCGGCCAGTTATCGTGTCTTCTCCCAGAAGTCGGACGTCTGGTCCTTCGGTGTCCTGCTGTATGAGGTTTTCACCTATGGCCAGTGTCCCTACGAAGGTGCATTCCCAGGCAGCCGCGGGGAGGAGGCAGGCTCTGCCCAGGAGTTACTGGCCCCGGGCCTGGACGCTGTTATCAGGGGATTGGAGGGTCTGGCCAAGGGCAGGCAGGTGACACGGGGGCTATGGGAGGCCTCCATTGGGATCCCCAGGCAGAATCAAGGCAGCTCTTGCCCCACGCCTCCCAGGCATGACCAACCACGAGACGCTGCAGCAGATCATGCGAGGGTACCGGCTGCCGCGCCCGGCTGCCTGCCCGGCAGAGGTCTACGTGCTTATGCTGGAGTGCTGGAGAAGCAGCCCCGAGGAACGGCCCTCCTTCGCCACGCTGTGGGAGAAGCTGCACGCCATCCACAGATGCCTTCCCCGAGTCCTCACGTGACTCAGGGCTCCGGGCTCCACCAGGCCAGCCCCTCCTCCCTGCAGAGCGTCCACTCGAAGGGATGCTGGTCGGCCGGACCGAGGAGCCTCTGGCTGTGGGCCTCAGGCACCAGCGTGCACGTGCATTTGTGCACCAGGCAGACACGTGGCCGTGGGCCTCAGGTCCTGGCGTGCACACGTGTTTGTGCACCAGGCAAACATGTGCAGACGGTGGAGGGCTCACGTTCTCTGTGCAGTGTGACACGTGTCCCTGGCGTCTCAAGAGAGAAAACAGCACAGGAAGGTGGGGAGAAGCCTTGGAGGCTCTAGGCGGGGAACCCGAGCCCAGCGTGTCTCTTGTCCGGGTCCCCTGGACTCCCTCCCAGGGTCAAGAGCCAAAGGCCCAGTTCTCCTCCCAGTCCCAGCTTGGGTTTGTGGAAGTGACCAGTGCTGGCTCCCGGGCAGACCACGGTGTTGACCCCACTGGGTGCGTGGTGTGTAGGCACGGGGAGGCACCATCACCTGCCCCTCACAGACACGCTGGCGGCCTGTGCACAGACCCACTCATGCACCCGGCACTCAGTAAGCTGCGACTGACCCATGCAGACACGTGCACAGGCTCACATCACACACAGGCTCAGCCCCCAAACGCAGACCCAGGAGCTGGAGCACGGGAGTCCACGTGGCTAGAAAATGCAGGTTGGAGCGGCCCCCGTGCGGCCCAGACCCCCAGCCCAGGACATCACGCTGCCCAGACAGTGTGAACCCCAAGGGCATTGGCGGGAGCTGCCTGAGCTGCCAATTCCATCTCCCTGGGCGGGTTCCAGGGGGCACAGGATCGGGGGGCCGGGAGGCTTGGTGGCCTGGGAGCTGCCCTTGGAGGCTATTTCCAGGGGCCTCAGGTTGGGCCCTGGGGGACTTGGAGTCTTCTGGCTGTTCAGGATCAGGCAGGGTTGGTCGGGGGGTCAGAGGTAGATGCCGTGGTGTGCTGGGCAGCAGCTGGCTCAGGAAGCCTCTGGGTGTGAGTGCTCGGGGGCCACCGAGGCAGGAGGGGGCAGGGATGTGCAGGGTCGGCCCTCGCTCACCCCATGTCTGGCTCAGGGAAGCCTCTGCTCAGGTCTTTGTGAAATCAGAAGCAAGGGGGCCGGCGGGGTCTGTTTGGGGTCCCCGGAGACCCTGCCCCCCACCCTCCTGGGAGCCCAGGTTGGCAGCTGTGCCCCAGAAGGCTTTCGGGGACAGAAAGTTTGGAGACAAGTTCAGGCCCGACTGAGTTCCTTGTTCCCTAGAGTTAGGGTCAGCTTTGCACCTGCCGAGCCAATGCGCTGATGGCCACTGTCCACAGGCCAAAGCCTGACTCGGGAGGGAGCTAAGAGATGAGACTCCCATGCGCAAAGGTCAGTGGCCCCGGGGAGGGAAGAGGCCACTCGGAGGCTCAGAGAACGGAGGCAGTCCAGGGGCTTCCTGGGGCCCGTGAGCAGGAAGAACAAGGCCAAGCAGAGGGAAGCAGCAGGAACCAGAACCCCTGCAGATGGTGGGGGCCAGAGGCTTTCTCTGAGCCGTTTGGGACCCTGGCCAGCTGCCCAGTTCCATCTGCGTGGGAGAACCTAGGGGAAGGGCTGGCTCTGGTACCTGGGCCCACTGAGGCCTTGAGCTGAGCTTCCGATTTTGGCATGTCCCCAGCGCCGCAGCCTGGGGGCTCCTCTGGCACAGAAGGCCTTGCTCTCTGTGCTTTCTGTGGCCGCCACTGGGATTAAGGGGACCAGGTGTGTCTGTGGCATCCGTGCCCTCCCAGGCATCTCACCAGCCACCAGCTGAACAAGTTTGGTGCTCCTGGATATCGGGGAGGGGCCAGGGACGTTCCTGCCTCCTGGTGTGGCTTAGACTGAACGTCCTGCACATCCGAACTCAGGGACACTCGAGGCTTCCTGGACACAGACTCACGGCCCAGAGGCCCCAGGCTCGAGGACACCGGGGTGGTGGCAGAGCTGGTGGGCTCTGAGGGACGCTGCCTGGGCAGATGCCCCAGCGCCCTCCTCTGGCATGCCCCACCTCCACCCCTCCCCCTGCATCTCTCCCGACCGACCCCCGGCAGAGCTGGCAGGGCCTGAGGGACGCTGCCCAGCCCAGCACCCCGCTGCCCCTCCCTACCTTGGTCAGCCCTGAGCTGGGCTGCTCAGAAATCTATGAACCTGTTAAATAATTATTGTTCTTAATCTCCAAACAATGAGCGGAAGGTTCCATTATTTCTCTTTGCAATAAAAATAAAAGTTCAAATACGCAGAGTTTAGGACTTTCCCTGCCATTCCTTGCAGACTTTGAATTTCCCTCCTCACCCCTTCCTGCCCCCTGAGGCTGCCGATCCAGGCCCCTGCGTTGGAGCCCCTGGTGGACACAGGAGGGTCAGCGGGAGGGTGGGGCGGGCAGGGGCTCCTGGGGAGGGGGTGTCTTGAGTCTCAGGGGCTGGGGGACAGGCGGCCTTTGGGTGCAGGTGGGGGTCACGCCAGGGCTCACTCAGGCATGGGTGGGGAGAGGGGAGGTGAGCTGGAAGGGAGCAAGGGTCATGGGGCTGGGCAGGAGGCGGCAGAGGCTGGAGGCTGGAGGAGCTGCCTGGGAGGGAGCTGCGCCCCGGGCCCCAGCGCTGTGGGCGCCTCCAGGCCACACTCACGGTCCTTCCCTGCCCCCTGGCGTCCGTGTGGAGGAAGGCAATGCCCGTTTCTTCAGCTGCGGGTGCCCCTGGCCCTGCCCCCCCAGGGATCCCCAAAACCCTCGGGTCCTCCTCTTCTGGGAAGTCCTCCCGGCCGACCCACACAGCTGTCACCGTCCTGACTCCAATCCCTCTTCCCCGCTTGGCCCTTACCCGAGGGCGGGCCTGCCCACGAGGCGGCTCTCAGGATGCCCGCCCACAGCAGCTCCTGGCATTGGGCCCCGTGCTCAGGGGTGGAGTCTGGGGCTGGGTGAGGGGAGGCACCAACGGGTGGAGGAGAAGCTTCCAGAAGTGGGGAGAGAAGCCCCCACCTGTGCCCCCATAGCTCTGAGGGTTGGGAGGCAGCACCTGCAGCCCTCACCGTCCTGCCCTCAGGCTGCAAGGCTCATTCCCAAGGGGGCTCTTGGGTTCCCTGAGTGCCTGAGTGTCCACAGGTTGGACCCCCGAGAAGCCCCAGCTGGGGAGTACTCCTCCCTCCCTCCCTGTGGCTGCTTGCCCAGCAGGTTCCCGTGGTGGGGGCACTAAGTGCCCAGATGGGCCCCAGGGGGCGTGAGGACTCGTGGGGCCGGCTGGGCCCTCAGGAGGAGCTGGGGTGCTCTCGAGCGCCTGTGGGTGCTGGGGTGGCTGCTTCCCTGCCTGTCACGAGGAAGTGGGACCGCCCGCCTGCCACGCCCAGCCCTAGGTGCTCCAGCTGGGCCACAGCCTGGTCCTGCCACTGCGCCAGCCATGGTGTCCCGGGACCAGGCTCACCTGGGCCCCAAGTATGTGGGCCTCTGGGACTTCAAGGCCCGGACGGACGAGGAGCTGAGCTTCCGAGCGGGGGACGTCTTCCACGTGGCCAGGAAGGAGGAGCAGTGGTGGTGGGCCACGCTGCTGGACGAGGCGGGTGGGGCCGTGGCCCAGGGCTATGTGCCCCACAGCTACCTGGCCGAGAGGGAGACCGTGGAGTCGGAACCGTGCGTGTCCTGAACTCCTGGGAGCTTTGGCGCAGGCCACCCTCTAGGCACAAGGGAGGGACAGGGCTCTGGGCTGGCCCCAGGGAGGCCCAGGAAGGTGGGACCCCGGCTCCATCTTCCTGTACCCCGAAGTCCAGGCTGGGCATCCCGCTTGGTCCTCGCTCCAGGTCCCATGTGCTGGCACCTGGGAGTGCCCACAGGACTGTCGCTACAGGAGTTGGAGCAGGGGGCTCAGAGGGCATGGCCCCTCCCTTGGGCTCATCCTTGTCACAGCTCGGTGGTGGACACTGCTCTGCCAGGACCCAGGGAGGACAGAGGTCCAGGGTGGACTTCTAGGGGTCCGGTGGCCAGTGACAAGGTCTGTTGGGGCGTTCCAGGGCCTTTGGGGGAACGAAGCTTGCTCAGTTTCCAAACTGCCAGAACCAGACACACGAGCTAGGTAGGGGAGAGGGCGGGCTGCCAGGCAAGCTTCCTGCCTGTTGTGCCCTGCGAGGAACCAGACGGCAGCTGGTGTGGTCCGGCCTCGGCTTCCATGGCTGCTCGGAGCTCAGGCTGGGGAGGGTCTGGGGGAGGGGTTTCTACGACTCACACTCCTGAGATCCCGCTTTTCTCATCATTGATTGGGTACCTACTGTGTGCGTGCATGAATCACGGGCTGTGTAGGGTTAATTCCTGGGGGACCCAAGCAACAAGCAGGGGAGGCTGTAAAGAGGCCATTGGGCAGGGGCCCATGGTGGAGACCCCTGTGTCACATTCAGACCCACCACCTCGTTAGGGAGCAGGGGTGCAGGGATAGGGTCTGGCCAGAGGCTGGTCAGCTCCCAGATGCAAAGACCCTGAGGCCCGGAGAACTCGCCCAGGTGAGGAGTGGGAAGGAGGCCAGGTGATTGGAGGGGTGAGTGGGGCAGTGCTCCCAGCTGTGCAGAAGCGGAGGGGGTAGACCCCAGGGGTTCCATGCTGGGCGGTGGTCTTCATGTGGGGTCCGTGTTCCAGTGGCCCGAGGGAGTCAGAGACACAAAGGGCTGGGCACAGGTCACCTGGAGCTTCTGTGAGCTCCACCTGGAAGTCCACAGTCCAGGGCTGGCCCACACCCTGCAGCCGGGAGTTAGTGTGTGTGAGTGACTGTGTGTGTGTGTGACTGTGGGCAAGTGAGCCCACATGCGTGTGTGTGTGTTCGGTGTGCAGGTGAACTGTGTGCCTGTGTGGGGGTAGCCCGCATGCATGTGTGTGTGTGTGTTCAGGTGTGCGGGTGAACCATGCGCATGTGTGGGGGTATGCAACTGTGTGAGTGCATGTGTGTACGTGTCACACGTGGGTGTGTGTGCAGGCAGCTCTGGGCAGCCCTACTGCTCAGGTGCCCTCCCCAACTCCACCCTAGGCTCTGACCCTTAGACACGGGCCTCTCAGGGCAGGGTGTGGTCAAGCCTGCCCCTCCCCCCGCTGGGTCCTCAGGGGCCTGTCCTGGCCATTTGGGACATTCAGGGCGTCTGGGTCAGTGACAGCTCCCAATAGCAGCTGTGGTCAGGGCTGGGAGCTTGAGGTGGCAGGCAAGGGTGGCTGTGGTTCCAGGTGGGCAGACTGGGGCCCGCGGGGGGTCCACGTGGGGTGGGCCCAGGTCCGCGCGGGCTCAGACTACTCCTCCCCTGCAGGTGGTTCTTCGGCTGCATCTCCCGCTCAGAAGCTGTGCGTCGGCTGCAGGCCGAGGGTAACGCCGCCGGCACCTTCCTGATCAGGGTCAGCGAGAAGCCAGGCGCCAACTACGTCCTGTCGGGTGCGGCCAGCCTCCGAGCCTGCGGGGGCTCCTTGCTCTAAGCCCTCCCATCCACGTGGTGAACCGGCTCCCTCGGGCTGTGACTGGGGACATGGGCTCCTCTCCAGGGAGCCCCCATCCCCTCCGCCCACCTGGCCCGCTCCTCCCTGGGGCCTGGGGCAGTCGTGGGGCAGGGCCCCTCCCTGGGAGGGCAGGGGCTTCTCCGGCCAGCCCTGCCTGAGGCACTCATGGGAGGTCCTGGCACCTGTGGGAACCTGGTCCAGCATGAGACCCTGAGTCCGGGGTGCACGAGGCGCGAAGAAACCCCATTCCTGCCCCTGAGGATCTCAGTGTGGCTGGGATTTCAGGCAGCTGCCATCCAGGCAGAGGCCATGGGCTGCCTGGCACGGGGGCAGGAGGGGCCAGAGAGCTTGGCCAGAGCAGGCAGGGCAGGAGGGAGCTGTTTCAAGGGAGGGGACGCAGGGGTGGGTACTGAGGAAGCACCAACAGCAACTATGGGGACCCAGAAGCTCTGAGCAGGTGTGGCCAGCAGGGCTGGGGACGCGCAGGGAGGCGTTGGAGCGGGGTGGTGACACCGCTCACGCTTTCCCTCCCAGTGCGGGACGCGCAGGCTGTGCGGCACTACAAGATCTGGTGGCGAGCCGGGGGCCAGCTGCACCTGAACGAGGCGGTGTCCTTCCCCAGCCTGTCCGAGCTTGTGAACTACCACAGGGCCCAGAGCCTGTCCCACGGCCTGCGGCTGGCCGCGCCCTGCCGGAAGGTAGCCGCTCCGCCCTGACTTGGTCATACAGGGTCAGGCTGGGGGGTCACAGGCTGGCGTTTCCTACTGGGAGAGGTTGGCCAGGCAGCATGGGAGGGGTCCTGACTCACTGAGCTGTGGCCGGCTGGAGGCAAGCCCGTGGTTCTGCAGAACACAGGTGTTTGCCTGAGTTGGGGGTGGGGCCAGGAGACCACCCCTGGGCCTGGCCACTCTCGGAGAGGCCAGCTGCACTCTGCAGGGTCCTGGCTTCAGTCTCTCCGGGTGTTTTGTGCTGGGCTTGGGGCAGCCACCGGGAGAGTCCAGCCTCGTGTCAGACACTCAGAAACCCCCAACCCAAGCTGAACGTGGCTCTAAATCTGAGGCTAAATCCAGGCTCCCTGCGCTGGCTTCAGACTGGCAGTTCCTGAAGGATGAGCCCCTGCCCTGTGTCCCCGACTCTCCCTCCAGCATGAGCCTGAGCCCCTGCCCTGTGTCCCCGACTCTCCCTCCAGCATGAGCCTGAGCCCCTGCCCTGTGTCCCCGACTCCCCCCATGCCCCCCCCTGCCCCACTCCCCGCATGAGCCTGAGCCCCTGCCCTGTGTCCCCGACTCTCCCTCCGGCATGAGCCTGAGCCCCTGCCCTGTGTCCCCGACTCTCCCTCCGGCATGAGCCTGAGCCCCTGCCCTGTGTCCCCGACTCTCCCTCCGGCGTGAGCCTGAGCCCCTGCCCTGTTCCCCCCCCCCCCCCCCCCCCCCCCCCCCCCCCCCCCCCCCCCCCCCCCCCCCCCCCCCCCCCCCCCCCCCCCCCCCCCCCCCCCCCCCCCCCCCCCCCCCCCCCCCCCCCTGGCCCCTGCCCTGTGTCCCCGACTCTCCCTCCGGCGTGAGCCTGAGCCCCTGCCCTGTGTCCCCGACTCTCCCTCCAGCATGAGCCTGAGCCCCTGCCCTGTGTCCCCGACTCTCCCTCCAGCATGAGCCTGAGCCTCTGCCCTGTGTCCCCGACTCTCCCTCCAGCGTGAGCCTGAGCTCCTGCCCCTGTGTCCCCGACTCTCCCTCCAGCATGAGCCTGAGCCCTGCCCCACTGGTGTCCCCGACTCTCCCCCGCTGAGCCTGCCCCGCCCCTTCCCGCCTCCCTCCAGCGAGCCTGAGCCCCCCCCCCCCCCCCCCTGCCCCCCTGTGTCCCGACTCCCTCCAGCGTGAGCCTGGCCCCTGCCCTGTGTCCCGACTCTCCTCCGCGTGAGCCTGAGCCCCTGCCTGTGTCCCGACTCTCCCTCCGCGTGAGCCTGAGCCCCTGCCCTGTGTCCCCGACTCTCCCTCCGCGTGAGCCTGAGCCCTGCCCTGTGTCCCCGACTCTCCCTCCGCGTGACCTGAGCCCTGCCCTGTCCCCGCCCGCTCTCCCTCCGGCGTGAGCCTGAGCCCTGCCTGTGTCCCCGACTCTCCCTCCAGCATGAGCCTGAGCCTCTGCCCTGTGTCCCCGACTCTCCCTCCAGCATGAGCCTGAGCCCCTGCCCTGTGTCCCCGACTCTCCCTCCAGCGTGAGCCTGAGCTCCTGCCCCACTGGTGTCCCCGACTCTCCCTCCAGCATGAGCCTGAGCTCCTGCCCCACTGGTGTCCCCGACTCTCCCTCCAGCATGAGCCTGAGCCCCTGCCCCACTGGTGTCCCGACTCTCCCTCCAGCGTGAGCGAGCCCTGCCTGTGTCCCCCTCCCCTCCGCGACCTGAGCCCCTGCCCTGTGTCCCCGACTCTCCCTCCAGCGTGAACCTGAGCCCCTGCCCTGTGTCCCCGACTCTCCCTCCAGCGTGAACCTGAGCCCCTGCCCTGTGTCCCCGACTCTCCCTCCAGCGTGAGCCTGAGCCCCTGCCCTGTGTCCCCGACTCTCCCTCCAGCGTGAGCCTGAGCCCCTGCCCTGTGTCCCCGACTCTCCCTCCAGCATGAGCCTGAGCCCCTGCCCTGTGTCCCCGACTCTCCCCCCCCCCCCCCCCCCCCCCCCCCCCCCCCCCCCCCCCCCCCCGCCCCCCCCCCCCCCCCCCCCCCCCCCCCCCCCCCCCCCCCCCCCCCCCCCCCCCCCCCCCCCCCCCCCCCCCCCCCTCCGCTGAGCCTGAGCCTCTGCCCCACTGGGATGACTGGGAGAGGCCGAGGGAGGAGTTCACGCTCTGCAGGAAGCTGGGGTCTGGCTACTTTGGGGAGGTCTTCGAGGGGCTCTGGAAAGACCGGGTCCAGGTGGCCATTAAGGTGATTTCTCGAGGTGAGTGAGCCCCGGTCAGGGCTCTGTGTGGCCCCGTGCCCGCCCTGGGCCACCCTCCCGCCCCGCCAACAGGGACCTCCGGCCTCGAGCCCCACGCAGCACCCACAGCACCCATGCAGGAGTGGTTCCCTTTCAACTGCACCTGTTTTTACCTAAATACATTTATTGTAAAAGAAAATTTCAGGCCTGGCACAGTGGCTCACACCTGTAATCCCAGCACTTTGGGAGGCCGAGGTGGGCAAATCATGAGGTCAGGAGTTTGAGACCAGCCTGGCCAACATGGGGAAACCCTGTCTCTATTAAAAATACAAAAAAACTAGCCGGGCGAGGTGGCGGGCGCCTGTAATCCCAGCTACTCGGGAGGCTGAGGCAGGAGAATGGCGTGAACCCGGGAGGCGGAGCTTGCAGTGAGCCGAGATGGCGTCCACTCACTCCAGCCTGGGTGACAGAGCGAGACACCCTCTCAAAAAGAAAAGCTTCCCTGGAAATTGCCTGGGCCCCAGCAGAGGTCTGGCCTCCACGTCAGAGGTCTGGGCCGGGCGCAGGAAGACATTGGGGGGCCACCACGGCCCCATGGGTATGCCAGGCTGGCGGCTTGTGGGGCCGGCTGTGTCCGCCATTTTGTGGCCTCAGGAGCCAGGTGCCCTGTCGGGGGCAGGAGGTCCGGTGTTCTGCACAGCTGCTGAGTGTGTGGGCAGAGCCTTGCCTTGGCCTCTTCCTTGGGGCCAGGGGAGGGTCAGGGGCTGCACCTGCCAAGGCCACCCATCCCCGCAGACAACCTCCTGCACCAGCAGACGCTGCAGTCGGAGATCCAGGCCATGAAGAAGCTGCGGCACAAACACATCCTGGCACTGTACGCCGTGGTGTCCGTGGGGGACCCTGTGTACATCATCACGGAGCTCATGGGCAAGGGCAGCCTGCTGGAGCTGCTTCGTGGTGAGTGGCACGGGCCGGGGCTCTCGCTGGAGGTAAAGGGGGTGCACGAGGAAATAAAGTGCACACACACCCCCACGTCTGCACGCACACACACACACACACACACACACAGACACACACACGCAGACACATAGACAAACGCGCACACACACAGAGACACATGCACACACACAGACACACATGCACACAGACACAGACACACGCACACACACAGACACACATGCACACAGACACAGACACACGCACACACACAGACACACATGCATAGACACACATGCACACACATGCACACACAGACACACAAACGACACACAGATCACACGGACACACACAGACACACAGACACAGATCACACGGACACACCAGGCACACACAGACACACACACATACACACAGACACACATGCAGACAGACACACATGCACACACATGCACACACAGACACACAAACAAGACACACAGATCACACGGACACACACACACAGACACACAGACACAGATCACATGGACACACCAGGCACACACACACACACACACACACACAGACACACACACACACAGACACACCAGGCACACACACACACGGACACACACGGACACACACGGACACACACACACGGACACACACACACAGACACACACAGACACACACACACACACACACAGATCACATTGGCTCAAAGACTTCATCGTCTCTAAGTTCCATTATTTCCTTTATCACCAAAATCAAAGACAATCGCTGCAGGGAATTGAGATGCCCGTGCGTGAAGACGCAGTTTGGATTCCAATGTTAGAATGGGAGGGAACGTTGTGGTGGAGGAAAAATGCCGTGTGTGTCTGAGGAGAGCTACATTGAGGTGCCACTCACGTTTGAGCTCTGAGTGAAAGGCTCCGTGATCATCTCAGACAGTCCCCACGCCCTTCAGGGTCCTCCGGGACGGAACGGGGGGTTAACAGGCACCACCAGGCCGCATGCTGCTGTCACTCAGCCATTATCCTGCTCAAGTTCCCGCCGCCTACATCACGCAGTCATGAGCTTCTTCGCTGGTCCTTCCGCGTCGAGCTTCTCCCGCGTCATAGCAAACTTCCAGAAAGGAAATCGCTGGGCTAGGCCACTAGGAACCACTCCTTGGTTCTTTTTTTTTTTTTTTTTCTGAGACTCACTCTGTCATCCAGGCTGGAATGCAGTGGCGCGGTCTCGGCTCACTGCAAGCTCCGCCTCCCAGGTTCACACCATTCTCCCGCCTCAGCCTCCCGAGTAGATGGGACTACAGGCGCCACCACCACGCCCGGCTCATTTTTTGTATTTTTAGTACAGATGGAGTTTCACCGTGTTCACCAGGATGGTCTCAACCTCCTGACCTCATGATCCACCCGCCTCAGCCTCCCAAAGTGCTGGGATTACAGGCGTGAGCCTCCACACCTGGCTTGCTCCTTGGTTCTTGACACACAGTTGCCTTCCACAAGGGCGGTGGCTGACCTGCAGTTCCAATTTTCAACCAGGCCAGCTGCCCTTTGCCCCGGCCCCTCCTCTGAGGCCGCAGAGCCTGGAGGCAGATGAGACACAGCCCAGCCTCCCCACCCCGTCCCTACCGCAGCTGGCTCAGCTGACCCCAGGCTCCCCTCCCCTCTGCAGATTCTGACAAGAAAGTCCTGCCCGTTTCGGAGCTGCTGGACATCGCCTGGCAGGTGGCTGAGGGCATGTGTTACCTGGAGTCTCAGAATTACATCCACCGGGACCTGGCCGCCAGGAACATCCTTGTCGGGGAAAACACTCTCTGCAAAGTTGGGGACTTTGGGCTAGCCAGGCTCATCAAGGTAGGGCCCTCGGAGGGCGTGGCCGGAAGGCTCGGGGGCTTCCTGTGTGTGGAGCTGGGGACTCGGCTGGGAGCAGGATGTGGCCTCTGCCCTCGGGAGCCCAGGCTGAGCAGGGAGGTGGGAAGCCACCGTGAGTCCGGTGGGGACCCCATTCCGAATGGCGCGGACCCCATTCCGGATGGCGCACACAGCAGGGCCCACCACGCAACCGCTGCCTCGTTCACTGGCCCAGCCCTGGGCCCCTCTGATGGCCTGGGAGCCTCCCAGTTCCCTGACCCCAGGCCTTCTCATCCCCATGCACCTGGAATCCCAGGGGAAGCTGGGCTCCTGAAGGTGGTCAGGCCCTGGCGTGGTCTTAGCTGCAGCGGCCGTGCGTGCGTGCTGGGGCAGTGTGGCCGCTGTGCCCGTCATGCTTCGGGGGCAGGGCACAGGCAGTCCCCCGCGGCCCACTCAGCGCAGCCTGATTGCAGGAGGACGTCTACCTCTCCCATGACCGTAACATCCCCTACAAGTGGACGGCCCCCGAAGCACTCTCCCGAGGCCATTACTCCACCAAATCCGACGTGTGGTCCTTTGGGGTTCTCCTGCACGAGATTTTCAGCAGGGGTCAGGTGCCCTACCCAGGTACTGCCCCCAGTGTCCCTGGCTGGGCGTGGGAGACAGAGTGGGGAAGGTCCTGGGTGGCCGGCAGGGATGGTGGCGGGTGCTTCCCCCACGGGCTGCAGGGCCCTCCGCCGCCAGCCATCACCTGAACTCCACACCTGCACCATTCTCTGAGCACCCAGGCCAGTGCCTGGAGCTGCCCGTTGGAGCCCCATCCAGAGGGAGGTGTTAGCAGCGGACAATGTGCTGGGTGGCGCCAAGGCACGGCCGCTGAGGCTGCAGGGAAGGCCCCAGGGAGGTGCAGTGGGTGGCTGGTATGGCTTCCTGGGGAAGGTGGACAGGTGGGCCCCAGCCCTTCTCATCCCTGTCGGCCGCAGGCATGTCCAACCACGAGGCCTTCCTGAGGGTGGATGCCGGCTACCGCATGCCCTGCCCTCTGGAGTGCCCGCCTAGCGTGCACAAGCTGATGCTGACATGCTGGTGCAGGGACCCTGAGCAGAGACCCTGCTTCAAGGCCCTTCGGGAGAGGCTTTCCAGCTTCACCAGCTACGAGAACCCGACCTGAGCGGCTGTGGAGCGGGCACAGCCGGGCCCTGCTGAGGAGGGCCCTGGGCAGAGGGCCTGCACCTGGGGTCAAGGCCCACGCGCCACCCTAGGGTTTACTGAGGTGATGGGTGCAGGAAAGGTTCACAAACGTGGAGTGCCCGCGTCCCACACACGCGTGTGCTCTCGTTCCTCCGTCGTGTGTGCCTTGGGTCTCAGCTGCTGACAGGCAGCCTGCTCCGGAGCCTACAGGTGAGATCCCGGGAGACTGACACGAAGCCAGCCGAGATCAGAGGGGATTCCGACCACAGCCTGCTCTCTGGATGTCTGTCGGCAGTACCGGCTGAGGGTGGGAGGCAAACACGTCTTGCCCCTGCTTTTCCCAGCTCAGCTTGGCAGGAGAAAGTCATTCGTACGGCTCGCGACTCTTGTGTAAATTTGGTTTTGGTGCCCACAGGTGCTTTCCTCCCGGGGACAGGTGTTTCTTTCCTGTTTGTCTTGTACCTCGAGAGCCTGGCTTTGTGACTAGTGAGAACTCTCCCCCTAGTTTCCGCCAGCCCGAGCATCACTGCCCAAGGCGCCAGCTCTTAGGGGGTTTGTAACAAGAGGTTCCCCATCCACGAGGGGCTTTTCCCGCCTCCACCTTTGTTGCTGGGTCAGTGCTGGAAAGCACTTCTGACTCCTGCCTGAGAAGGACCCTTCTCTGCTGTCTGTGGGGCGGTTCCGGGCTGGGGGGCTGCCTCCTTTGCACCTGCTTTTGAAGGTGTCTCTTTCATCCATGATTAAGTCATAAAAAGCTGATTGGTTTTGGTTTTGACTCACCTGAAAGTCTTTTTTGTTTAAAAGAAGAACAGGCTGGGCACGGTGGCTCACGCCTCTAATCCCAGCACTTTGGGACGCCGAGGCGGGTGAATCACGAGGTCAGGAGATCGAGACCATCCTGGCTAACACAGTGAAACCCCGTCTCTACTAAAAATACAAAATTTAGCCGAGTGTGGTGGCGGCACCTGTAGTCCCAGCTACTCGGGAGGCTGAGGCAGGAGAATGGCGTGAACCCGGGAGGCGGAGCTTGCAGTGAGCTGAGATCTGACCACTGCACTCCAGCCTTGGCGACAGAGTGAGACTCCGTCTCAAAAAAAAAAAAAAAAAAAAAAGGTAGAACAAAAAAGAGTCCAGCATTGCCACAAATAACACTTACTGCTTGTTGCAGCAGAAATAGGATAATAGGATATCTGAAAGGATTTAAAAAAAAAAGTTTTCTGGTCAAAAGTTGACTTAATGAGAAACTGATAGGTCATATATATAATCTTTGTTTGTTTGTTGTTTGTTTTGAGACAGTCTTGCTGTCACCCAAACTGGAGGGCAGAGGCGCGATCTCAGGTCACTGCAACCTCTGCCTCCTGGGTTCAAGCCATTCTCCTGCCTCAGCTTCCCGAGTAGCTGGATTACAAGCACCCACCACCTCGCCTGCCTAATTTTTGTATTTTTAGTAGAGATGGGGTTTCACCATGTTGGCCACGCTGGTTTCAAACTCCTGACCTCAGGTGATCCACCCACCTCGGCCTCCCAAAGGGTTGGGATTACAGGCGGGAGTCCCCGTGCCCGGCCCCAAGCCTCTCTCTCCTCTCACTGGCTCCTGCTTCTCCAGCTTCTCGGTCACAGGAAACTCTTCTAGAAGCCCTGGGGGCGTCAGCTCCGCCAGCTCCACCCACTCCCTGCTGGACCTTCCTGGCATCCATGGGAGCTTCCGATGGCCACTCCTCTGAGCCTGCTTTCACTCCTCCTTCCTCCTTTTGCCAGCTCTGTTCTCCTGTCTGCCCCCTCCAGTCCTCGCCATGTCCTCTTCCTGCGTGGCTCTGACAACCGTGTCTCCCCCAACCAGAACTCCCTTCCCACACGGGCCCTGGCACGGGGACTTCAGGGCTTCCTGCTCCCAAGAAGCAATTGCCTGAGGCTGGCAAGGCTGAGCTAGGCTGCGGCTCCTGGAGCTCTCCCGGTGGTTCCCGGAAACCGAGTCCATGGCCTCCTCAAGGATGGCCTCTGACCTTAAACATGTCCCTGACTTCTTCTGAGAACACAGGTTTTTCTCCGTCCCTTCGAGATGTAAATTTTCTACCTCGTCTCTTCTAAAACCTGAATCATCTTTTTGAAAATACAAACTTCAGGGAGATGACTGTCCTCGGGGGGAAAAAAACTTATTGAAAACTGGGCAAATAAAAAATCTAGAAGTCTTTTCCACAAATATTAGTAAACAGCTTTAGCCATCTGAGTGAGGAATCTTAACTTGCCTCATTTTGGCCAGAAACACACCTTGGAGAGAAATATGAGGAAAGACCAGCTTGGGCAGCAGAGACAGACCCCATCTCTAGCCCCCGCAAAAAAAAAAAAAATTAGCCAGGCGTGGTGGCGTTCACCTGTAGTCCCAACTACTCATGAGGCTGAGGCAGGAGGATCCCTTGAGCCCAGGAGGTCGAGGCTGCAGTGAGCTGTGATTGCACCACTGAACTCCAGCTTGGAGACCCTGTCTCAAAAAATAAAAAAAAATTGAAGAGACACCTATGTTTTACTGACTTGAGAATAAAAATTCTAAAACAATAGCTGTAAGATCTGTTTTATATCTGTTTGTGTATTCTTTATGTATATATGTGTTTATATTATGTATTCGTGATTTTCTCAGATGGTATTACCAAATTAATTTATAAAATATCTTTTTTTTTTTTTTTTGAGACGGAGTCTCGCTCTGTCGCCCAGGCTGGAGTGCAGTGGCGCGATCTCGGCTCACTGCAAGCTCCGCCTCCCGGGTTCACGCCATTCTTCTGCCTCAGCCTCCCGAGTAGCTGGGACTACAGGCACCCACAACCGCGCCCGGCTAATTTTTTGTATTTTTAGTAGAGACGGGGTTTCACCGTGGTCTCGATCTCCTGACCTTGTGATCCGCCCGCCTCGGCCTCCCAAAGTGCTGGGATTACAGGCGTGAGCCACCGCGCCCGGCAAAATATCTTTAAAAAGTTATATTCAGTTTGGCTTACAGATAAACAAGTACTTATGTAAACAAAATATTCCTAAAATCTGAGAAATATAGAAACTAAGCCAAAATTTTTTTTTTTTTTTTTTTTTTTGAGACGGAGTCTCACTTTGTCACCCAGGCTGGAGTGCAGTGGCCTGATCTCTGCTCACTGCAAGCTCCGCCTCCCAGGTTCATGCCATTCTCCTGCCTCAGCTGCCGAGTAGCTGGGACTACAGGCGCCCGCACCACCATGCCTGGCTAATTTTTTTGTATTTTTTAGTAGAGACGGGGTTTCACCGTGTTAGCCAGGATGGTCTCAATCTCCTGACCTCGTGATCCGCCCGCCTTGGCCTCGCAACGTGCTGGGATTACAGGCGTGAGCCACCGTGCCCGGCGCCAAATTTTTAAAATAAGTGTTTGTGATCTGGGATAATCTTTGGTAAATAAAACTAGTTTTAAGAATGTTGGTAACATTAAAAAAAGGAATGGCTTCAGAATTGTCAGCATTAAATACAATGCAGGTATAATTTGTTTTGGTCTGGGCTTAGTAGTAAAACAAGTTTATGTTACCACCACTCAGTCTTTAAGATCATAAAACTATAAACCCAAACTAAGAGCAGAATACACAGTAAAAATGAATTGCTAATGCAGGTCAGCTGTGGGAGGAGGAGGGTGCGGGGAGGAGCAGAGGGGAAAGAGGAGCGAGAATACCATGCTTTTCTTTTTAGTTTCTTTTTTTTTGAGATGGAGTCTTGCTCTGTTCCCTAGGCTGGAGTGCAGTGGCACTATCTTGGCTCACTGCAAGCTCGGCCTCCCGGGTTCACACCATTCTCCTACCTCAACCTCCCAGGTAGCTGGGACTACAGGCTCCGCCACCACATCCGCTAATTTTTTGTATTTTTAGTAGAGATGGGTTTCACTGTGTTAGCCAGGATGGTCTCGATCTCCTGACCTCATGATCCACCCGCCTTGGCCTCCCAAAGTGCTGGGATTACAGGCGTGAGCCACTGCGTCAGGCCCTAGTTTCTTTGCTTCTGTGATGTTTTTGATATTTGTGGTCACTAAGGAAAATAACTCACGATGATGGCCAGTTTTATTTAATGTTTCATGAAATCTTCATGAGCAGTTCAACCATAATTGTTAAGAACAAGTGAATTAGGTGAATATAAGTGGTATAAGAGTTTATAAATACATTTCTAAATACTTTTTTGTTTGAGAAGGAGTCTTGCTCTCTGGCCCAGGCTGGAGTGCAGTGGCGTGATCTTGGCTCACTGCAACCTCCACCTGCTGGGTTCCAGCGATTCTCCTGCCTCAGCCTCCTGAGTAACTGGGATTACAGGCGCCTGTCACCACGTCCAGCTAATTTTTATGTTTTTAGTAGAGACAACATTTTGCCATGTTGACCAGGCTGGTCTCCAACTCCTGACCTCAGGTGATCCACCCGCCTTGGCCTCCCAAAGTGCTGGGATTACAGGTGTGAGCCACCACACCCAGCCTAAATTAAAATTTTTTATTTTTACTTTTTAGAGATACCATTGCCCAGGCTCAAGTGCAGTGGTTTGGTCGCAGCTCACTGCAGCCTCCAACTCCTGGGCTCAAGCGATCCTCCTACCTCTGACTCCAAAGTCTTGGGATCACAGGCATGAGCCACCATGCCCGATATAAATTAACTTTTTTTTTCTTTTTTTTTGAGATGGAGTCTCGCTCTGTTGCCCGGGCTGGAGTGCAGTGGCCGGATCTCAGCTCACTGCAAGCTCTGCCTCCCGGGTTTACGCCATTCTCCTGCCTCAGCCTCCCGAGTAGCTGGGACTACAGGTGCCCGCCACCTTGCCCGGCTAGTTTTTTGTATTTTTTAGTAGAGATGGGGTTTCACCGTGTTAGCCAGGATGGTCTTGATCTCCTGACCTCGTGATCCGCCCGTCTCGGCCTCCCAAAGTGCTGGGATTACAGGCTTCAGCCACCGCGCCCGGCCATAAATGAACTTTTTTTTTTTTTTTTTTTTTTTTTTTTGAGACGGAGTCTCGCTCTGTCACCCAGGCTGGAGTGCAGTGGCTGGATCTCAGCTCACTGCAAGCTCCACCTCCCGGGTTCACGCCATTCTCCTGCCTCAGCCTCCCGAGTAGCTGGGACTATAGGCGCCCGCCACCTCGCCCGGCTAGTTTTTTGTATTTTTTAGTAGAGACAGGGTTTCACCGTGTTAGCCAGGATGGTCTCGATCTCCTGACCTCGTGATCTGCCCGTCTCGGCCTCCCAAAGTGCTGGGATTACAGGCGTGAGCCACCGCGCCCGGCCCATAAATGAACTTTAAAACAATAATTGTTTTATAAATTCTGTCTACTTATAAACAGTTTCCAAAATCTTTTTGGTAATTTGCAGCCTTAAAAGTTATTTTATACTTTAGGAGGTCAAGGCAGGAGGATTGCTTGAGCCCAGGAGTTTGAGACCAGCCTAGGCAACATAAGGAGATCCAGATATCCCATCTTTAAAAAATATAAAAATAAAAAATTAGCTGGGTGTGGTGGCACCTGCCCGTGGTCCCAGCTACTCTGGAGGCCAAGGCAAGAGGATGGCTTGAACCTGGGAGGTCGAGGCTGCTGCAGGGATCGCACCACCGCACTCCAGCCTGGGCAACAGAGTGAGACCCTGTCTCAAAATAAAATAAAAATAAGTAAATAAAAGTTATTCTAAGTTAAATTAAGTAATAGATATTCAATGTCTGGGCCATTTCCTTTTTTTTATTTAAATTTAATTTTTGTGGGTACATAGTAGTTGTATATATTTATGGTGTACATGAGTCATGTCAACCCAGCCG